TCAAGGGTGAGGCAAAAGGAAGGTGGGCATAAATGGGTTCATTTGGGTGAATATGAGAGATGAATGGAGGATGGTGTTTTGGGTGCTTCTAGGTTGGCTCTCTTCACTAAGTGGAGGTGAAGGCCACTCAAGGAACCCTAAACTCACTCAAGGGAGGAGATGGGAGATGATAGCAAACTTAGGAGAAGTGAAGGATGATCTTCTCCACGGATTTGCTTAGGTCGGATCTTCTTCAATGGAGACTTGATTCTTCAACTCAAGAATGCTTGGAAGCTAAGAACTCACGGATGAACTCAACCTAGAACTAGGAGGGAAGCATCCAAGCTCAAGCATCAATGGAGAGCACACTTCAAAGAGAAGGATCCTAAGGTGAAATCCTAAGGTTTTGAAGATGAACTCTAAGGGACTTTTGAGAGAGGAAACTCGGCCAATGGCTCACAAATTTCAATTATGATCAAAAGTGAATACAAAAATGTGAAGGGAGGACTTAAGTATGCACGGAAATGAAGCACATAGGCACCTAAACCAAAGCTACACAAATTGGCGCCTAAAGTTTGAATTCAAATTTGAAATTTGAATTCAAACTTTGGTGCACATGTGTAAGTCCGAAAATTTAGGTACCAAGGTGCATTTAGGTCTGATTTGAGAGTCATTTAGGGTTAATTTGAGTGTCAAATGTTCAGCCACCAATGGTGCAAAACATGTGACTCAAATGTAACTTAAATGGCTTCCAAATTAAACCTAGTTTAACCTAATTAGCATACTTTAGTATTCCTTGTATTTTCCTATTCTAATGACCTAATTACATTGGTCAAACAATTACAATGGAAAGGAAAAATTACAAGAATGAAAATGAGCCCAATATTGGGTACCAAAAGCCCAAAGGCCCATGAAGCCCAAAACTAGGCCCAACAAGCCTAAAACCTAAAATGCTACTCTATGTGGTCCAAAATACAAGACCAAAATATATGATACCTATACTAACATGATGTATACAAAACATATGAAAATAGCTATAACAAAATATGGCCCATGAAAAGTTCAACTTGGGCCTTCC